TAAGATTGAGTCGTCGAGGATAAAAATTCCCTGGCCAGTTTTTCGCTTGACAGATGTGTGGATCATTCTTTGTTTTAATTTTTAATGAGGGAAACAACAAAATGTTGCTCCTCAACGCATGATTAAATTGTCTTGTTATGGGGAGAGATATCTGTGGCCCTGATGGCTGAATCTGATGCCACAAATGGTTTGTTAAGAGTCAGACACAGATGAAGACAGCTCGGCCCAGCGATAGTCCCAGCAGCACCAGACACACACACACACACACACACACACACACACACACACACACACACACACGCACACACACACACACACACGCACACACACACACACACACACACACACACACACACACACACACACACACACGCACACACACACACACACACTTTTGATAAATCACTGCAGCATCACAGAGAGAACTTGAGTACTGTACAGTGGCAATGGAGAGAAAGCTTCAGAAGTTTTGCCTCGGAGATTTATGCCTCGGTGAAACATCCTGCTTTGTCAAGTTGCACAATATGCAAATGTATTGTTTACTGTTCGTGTGACAGTATCAAGGCATGAAAGCCAGTGGGGACCAAGGGCTGTGGCAGGCTACTGAGGAAGGCGGAGGGAAGAGCGAAAACAAACTGTGTAAGAGAAGAGGCAAACTATGCGCTAAATGACAGCCTCACTCTGTCTCAGTCCTCCTCTAATTCTGAGTTAGTGGAGTGATGACGGATGCAAGGAAATCAGAGTACATTGTTCTTAGAATGAGGATTTTTTTTCAGGGGTAAATCTGCTTCTGGGCGTCTTTTTGATTTGGGACTGTTTATCTGTTTGTCAAGAGATTTGTGAGCTAAAGCAACAAAAGAAAGCAAATGGAGGAATGAAAGACTTTGCTAAAGTCAAATGTTGAACCATTTCATTTGGCAAGAAGTTCAGAAACAGAAAAAGATTGAGCCAGATTTCAACAAAAATCTAATTTAAATTAGAAAAAAATGGCCTGTATTTGAATAGCACCTTCTTAGGGTTCTGTGACCCTCCCAAGACTCTTCACAAGTCAGTTAGTCATCCACCCATTCACACCCTGTGGTGATGAGATACAGTGTAGCCACAGCTGCCCTGGGGCGCACTAACAGAGGCGAGACTGCCAGACACAGACGCCACTGGTCCCTCCGACCACCACCGGCAGGCAAGGCAGGTTAGGTGCCTTGCCTAAGGACACAACAGCAGCTTTCTCTGGCGGAGGCCACGACTGAACCAACCATCCAATTACTAGACAACCCGCTACACCTCCTGAGCTAGTGCCTGTTCAAAATTGTCTTAAATTCACAAACAGGAGTTGAAACTAAAGTTTGGGTGAATTTCAGAAGTGCTTTGCAATTTATTATGTTGAATATTATGGGGGTTCGAGTTTTCCAGAGATGGAAAAGCATTTCCAGTCTTAATCTCCTCAGGAAGCCAATTTAGATGCAAAATCTCAGTCAGTCTTGCTCCAGAACTTTTTCTGGTGATCTGCTGGACAATTAAACTCTGTAGCCCCTGACCCTGAATAAAAGTGGAATAAAAAGGATTGGACATTTTACCATCTATTCCTGCTTCTTAGTCATGTGCATTTGTCTCTATCACCTTTTCAATTCTGAAATGTAAACATGCCTTTTGCAACTCTTGTTATGAAATTTTTTATTATCTTAAAAAGCTGGAATACACATATTTAAAAGAGATACTTAGCAATTTTTTCATATTTTTTAATCATTTTCTTGAGCCAGTTTGTGCTAAAATGACCTTTTACAGGGTTAATGAAAGGCCACTCAGCCCATAGTGCCCCCTCTGGCCAGAATATTCCACTTGCAACTTCAGACTTGCGGGTCGCTCTGTTGGGACTTGGAAAAATTTGAGCTGACATACCTGGCGCTGCATTCTGGTTCCAGCATGTTTTAGATCATGAACACAGCTGATTTGTTCAATTTAGGGATAAATATTTCTTTTAGACGCTAAGGAAAGAAAATTGGTATTTTTCATTTATTTATGTATTTTTCATTGCACCTTGAAAATGTTGGTTTACTATGAAATTCAAATTTGATTGAAAAGGTTATTTTATATCAACTTCTTAGTATAGTGTTCTTCTATTATAGGCATAGGCAGTAGCATGTTATTCCTTCTCATTTCATTCCTCATCATTTAGATCAATGATCTATTAAAGTTTAAATCTCAAATGAACAGTCTGTACAGCGGCGTTGCTCTGGCTTCTGTTTGCTCTGTAATTTATTTTACTTAAAGGCTCAGTGGGTTGGTTAGATCCCTTTAGATGAACGTAAGTGGTGATTAGAGTTTTCCTCAATATATTTTAATGGCATATTTTATCTTGTATTTTATTAAAAAGAGTATTCTGGCAAATGCTTTGTCTGAAGCATGCAGGAACAAATTAATGTGTTTTCACAAAGATTAGTAAAAGTGGTTTCACTGACAGTTTTGGCTCCTTCCTGTCGCCTTCGTCTGAGCGCCACTAATGTTGACCTCTGAGTGTGGATGTGTATTCCAAGGAAGGAGGTCCTGGATAACAACAGCCCAGTTAAACGACTGCTCTCTGGGAGTTCCAGTGTTAATCCAGAACTTAATTTAACTTATACCTTTGACAACGACTGCTATTAGGCAGGAAAGAGAAAAGGCATTGCGTCAAAACTTTGCATAAATAGATGTCTTTATGTGTGTTGTAAGGAAACACACAGGTGTGCTTTGACGGCGACGTTCCAGTTGGAGGGAATTCCTGCTGATGCTCCTACTGGTTTGTCAAGCTTTAATAAGAAATATAAAGTAACTTGGTAAATGTTGATAGCAATTATTTCACTGGTGGTTTTCATCCTGATGAGCTAAAATGTCACCAAAAGAGAACAGTAATAAAATCTACTGACCCATTAAGGGCATCATAACTCTTTTGAACTATTGAAACTTAGACTTTTCTCATTATGCAGAATGCAGCAAGAGTACGGCAGGAATCTCTTGCTGTAGATTTCAGGTTTAGTAAAGTGTGCACGGATTAAAGAGCAAGTTCACTGGAACACCGCTACAACTTGTTATTTTTTAAATTGGATTTAACATGCAGGGTAACCATGAGCCGCCGATAGAAAAAAAGATGGAAAAACACTTGGAATTTAAAAGCCAGCAGATCCACGTCACATTCAAAATTTGCTTTCATGGGCACAACCAGGGCTGCACAGTGGAGCAGTGGTTAGAGCTGTTGCCTTGCAGCAAGAAGGTCCTGGGTTCGCTTCCCAGCCTGGGATCTTTCTGCATGGAGTTTGCATGTTCTCCCTGTGCATGTGTGGGTTTTCTCCGGGTACTCCGGCTTCCCCCATCCAAAAACACGACTGTTAGGTTGATTGGTCTGTCTAAATTGTCCCTAGGTGTGTGTGTGTGTGTGTGTGTGCATGATTGTTTGTCCTGTGTGTTGCCCTGCGATGGACTGGCACTCTGTCCAGAGTGTACCCCGCCTGATTGCCCATTGACCGCTGGAGATAGGCACCAGTCCCCCCGCGACCCTACATGGACAAGCGGGTTCAGACAATGGCTGGATGGATGGACACAACCATCTTTTCACGTGATGGGGAAGTCTGATTTAGAGTCCAGGAGAGCAGAGAACTAGCAGAAGCTAACTGTTAGCAAAAGCAAGTCCACAGCACAGCAGAACTCCTTCAGGCTGGAGTTATTTGTGGAGATGAAACATCAACATTGCAGAATTGTGTTGCTGTTAGCCAATGAGAGGAGAGATGTCTGAATATCAGGTAATAAGACACCAAATACTGTTGTTTTCTGCCCACCTCTCCTCTATTTCACTTTAAGTTCCTGAAGCAGGAGTGTGAGAGCTTTTTTCCCCACAGAGATCAACTCACAAGGCATTAATTTGTGCTAGAAACCACTGCAAATGTGTTGAGAAACAACAAGTGAATGTGGTCTTTAAAAAGCCACGGGCAAGAAAAGAGATGTCTGGAGGGATTTTGGTGAGACTATGGTCTAGAAAAGTTCAAAGTTTAAATCTGATCCTTATTTTAACGCATACCCACCGTAACGGAAGCTTTTTTCTTTTAGTATTACAGCATAATCAACATCTATTTTATTTAGCATTGGCAGGATCAGTTACACCAAATGCAATACATATTGTTGATGCAGGATGTTACACTTTGGATATACTTCATAGTCTCCTGTTTCAGCACAAGCTGCACATAAATACCAGTGGTACTTAAAATCACACAAAAGATGATTGATTTTGATTGAAGTTATCGTGCAGGGTGCTGTCTAGAATGCTACAGTCAGAGACAAGGTTTGGATTAGGGATGCAAAAAAATACCAAACTAAAAACAAACAAAAATGTATTGAATAATATTAAATAATCATATCTGGCAAATGAAAGGTGTTTCAGGATCATGAGGACAATTAGATCAGGCCCCCACAATAGCATTGAAATTGTCTGGTGTTATTTTGGGTTTTAACAACACTTTGGTCAAAGACTGTGGTCAATATGAATCCTATAGAAAAGAAAGGGTTGTTTTTTTACACACAAAAAGAATTAATTGCCCTGAGACAGACTTTAGCCAACCATGAGAGAGAGAGAGAGAGAGAGAGAGAGAGAGAGAGAGAGAGAGAGAGAGAGAGAGAGAGTGTGTGTGTGTGTGTGTGTGTGCGTGCGTGTGTGTGTGTGTGTGTTTGTGTGTGTGTGTGTGTGTGTGTGTGTGTGTCTGTGTGTGTGTGTGTGTGTGTTAGTGTGTGTGTGTGTGTGTGTGTGTGTGTGCGTGCGTGTGTGTGTGTGTGTGTGTGTGTGTGTGTGTGTGTGTGTGTGTGTGTGTGTGTGTGTGTGTGTGTGTGTGTGTGTGTGTGTGTGAGAGAGATATGGGCTAAAACCATACACAGTTCAGCTTTTTGCAAGTAAAATCTGAAAATAGAAAAACCCATTAAAACAGACACTCTCCTAAAAAGCAAGAGTGGCATCAGCACACGGCGGCTAAAAGTGAACTCACCTATAAATTTTATATCTGGTCGTAAATCCTTGGCGGAATCTTTCCACAAAGGACAGATAGCTCCGAGAGTGGTGGAAAGGTCCGCGGTCAGAGATGAGCCAGTCATATTGCTTGGTGACATGTTGTTCAGCAGCCAACAGGTCCTGGCGGGAAGACTGAACTGTTATATGGTCCCATATAAACAGGAAGCAGATGACCTCAATAAACCTCCAGTTCATGCTTTTTTTTAAGCCGCTCTCTGTTCATTCTCGCTCCATTATGTGGAGACCTGATGGGGAGAGAAAAAGGAGGGGGGGAGAGGGGGGAGAGATGCACAAAAGGAGAGCTGGTAAATGACAACAACGATTACATCAAAACAAGAAAGTCTTCCAGGTTGGGTTAATTTGCCATGGTGAAAACAAATAAGATAGGACCTTTGACACCCTCGCTTTTCCGCGACAATATGCTTATTTATTCAGTTTTCTACTGCTCTTTACTTGATTTTTTTTCTCCCAGGAGCTTTTAGAAAATCACACAGAAAGGGTGTTGTTCTGTTGCAGACTGGGGATGAGGTACACCCTCAGCTTTCTGGGTGCCTGTTTGTAATTCGTGTCATGATAAGTTCTGACAGGGTTAGAGGACTGCTTGATGGTGTGTTATGACACTCTATAGCCACTAATGTGGAAGAACACCATCTCCCTTTACACAGAGGTGTCAATTACTGCTGGAAGGAAACTTTCATCTATTGACATCGCTGCTGAACTTAGCCATGCTTGGATTGAGCAACTAACATGTAAAGCAAAGAATATTGTAATGTTCAGTTCAGAGACGAAAAAAGAAAACTGCAAAAACTCATTCCGACAATATTCGATAAGGCAGGAAAACGATGTTTGACCGCAAAGATTTTCCAGCCGACGTGTCGCCGATGGCAGATTTCCATCAGTAATAGCGTTTGAGATTTTTGGCCCCTGGCCGTGGAACAACAGTGTGCTATCAGTGCTTTGTAGGCATTAAACGCTCCCCCTTTCACGCTTTATTAGACAATAACAGATCATAAAAGAGCAAGAAAAATTTGATGAGCCTAATCTTTTCCTTAAACACATGATGAACTGGTGGCATGCTGATAAGAGGATCACTCTTTCTGCTTTTATCTCACCACAATTAAAAACGACTATCAGTTTCTCAAGATAGTTTTAATGAATTTAGAATTCTGTCGTTGAGAAAGGCTTCCAAAATGTGTCGGGTGTTATTTGTTACACTGACTGGTGGAACGTTTGCTTTTCATATTTACCCCTTTGAGTGGCAGGTTGGTGAATTGGTAGAACACCTTTAGTCCTGATTCCTTCTTGAAGCGTGCACTGAACTTAAGCGACAGGGACGTGAGTAAAAAAAACACCAAACTGAAACAATGAAAAAAACAAAAACAATAAAAAAAAGAGGAAATGTTTGATCAACATGTTAAGATGTATTACCATACATTCTCATTGCCTTAAAGGGGACATAATTGTTGTTTACTTAAGTTGTAACATGTTTATGAAGTTCTTTGCTCTAAAACCCCTCAGATGAAGTTACTTTAGCCATTTTATTCTCAACATTTTCAGTACCCTCCAGAATGAGACATTTCAGGGCTCTGTCATTTTAAGAAAAGAAGGTGGAGCTGGCCTGTTGAATCCCCATTTACACAGAGTGCGTAATGGATTCGGATTGTAATCCACGCAGCTTCCAAACGGACTGCCCTTTACACAGACTGGGACGTGTACAGAACCTCTGGAAAGTTGTTTGCAATAACAACTATGTGTTCTTCATCATGCACTGTGAATAAATATCCCTGTCATTAATAATAGCAAAAGAAGCCAGACAGAATGAGGCAACACAGGTTTTATTTTAGAATTAACTGGATGCCCCTTGGTGGCACACGTCTCAATTCTTGTCTGGCTTAAGTCATTTCTTCAACTTCACGATGATCTGCGTGCAACATCTGGAAACAATGAACACTGTGTGGATCCAAATCTGCTTTGCACCGCAGCTGGCGTAAATGCTTTGATTGGACGCGGTGATTTTCAGTTTTTGTGGATGCAGATTCCGATATGCGTTCATTCCACATTTGGTGTAAATGAGGATTCAGGCTGATACAAGCTGAGAGTCTCCGATATCCAGGAGGGACTTGAAGTAGAGAGGTGAAGGGTGATTATATTCTACTTTCTGCTGTTGTGATGACACAAAGTTTTTGAAATTGATTGTTTTAGCCACATCATTCCTAAACCAAACACTGACAGAAAATAGATGGAGGGATGTTTTTATGTTTGGTGTTTGTATATATACATATGTATATATATATATATATATATATATATATATATATATATATATATATATATATATATATATATATATATATATATATATATATATATATATATATATATATATATACATATATATACATATACATATATATATATATATATATATATATATATATATATATATATATATATATATATATATATATATACATATACATACATATATATATATATATATATATATATATATATATGTATGTATATGTATATATATATATATATATATATATATATATATATATATATATATAGTTACAGCAGTAGAGGCACACACAGCAGCACAGAAGGATGCAAAAAGTCAGTGTTTGAGCTGTTATTACTTTAAATGACTAAAATGATAATAAAGCAAGTAAAATGTTTTTTTTTTCTTTTTCGAGGGTGCAAACATTAGTTCATCAATATAACACTTAAACTGCTTTATATATGTGATTTTATTAACTTTAATCGGAACAGATTTTAAAATCTGACAGATGAGAAAAACGTTTAGATGAGATGATGACTATGTCAGACTGTGTGGAAGATGAATTCTCAGTTTTTAAACTCACACCCTTTGGCAAATATTCCAGATTGTTTTTTTTTTTACTTGGCAGATTGTCCATTAAGTTTATTCCAGTCAACAGAGGGAAGTGAGTTGGTAGACCTTTGGCTAAATCACTCTGACGAGGTGCTAGTATAAACGTCCCAGTAAGAAAGAGCATTTAGAGATTTGGCGTTCATTCACAAAAAAATAAATATATGTAATTAAAACTTTTTATGAGTGATGCTGTTATTAAATCTACTCATATCATTCCAAAGGTTTTTGCTATTTGCATGGAGTATGATGATCCTGTGCATCAACGGTAATAGAATAAATGCTCTTGCTGTTTTGATTTGTATCTTTGCAAAGCACCTACCAACGGAACTTTGATCAAAAAATAACAGCCAAAAAATAAAAATAAATCACAACCATTCCCTATTTGTGTGTCATTAAGGGTTTACTAGTGGCACATTTTGTGGTCAAGCTGGGGAAGAACCAAATATGAACCAAGCTCCAAGCAGAAGCAGGAGAGCTCAATAACGTGTTCTTCATAAACAAAAATGTAATAAATACCAAAGAACGTTGCAATGAGAACATACCCAGGTTAATAGGAAGTGCATTTCCTGATATCTAACAAAGAACCACTGAAGATAATACTCTCTATTATGGTCCATCTGATGATTATGACCATTTTATTATGCAAATAAGCCATAACTTTACATAAAAGCAACTGCACAATCATACTGCTTTAAAGAAAATAAAACACTTCCAAACACAAAGCTAAAGTATATTCTACAAGCCATAAAATCAAAGAAATTTTAGAAAATCCAGCTAAATTACTCAAATATGGCATTAAAAAAGCCTTTCCAGTCTTAATCTTCTCAGGAAGGTCATTACAAAATCTAGCCCTGACTTCAAAAGCCTCATTGCCTTCACATTACTGCCCAATGCCGTGGGAGAACAAGGGACAATGTATCAAAAATCCCATTGAGAAAAGAAACAGAACAGGCAGAAGGCAACAAAAAGACCAGGCATCTTGGTGATTTCCAAACAGTTAATAAAAACATATGAACATTAAGCCACTAAATGTGAAAAACTTAAATTTTTATTGATTCTTTAAAACAATTTTACTGTTAGCAAGCAATCACTGACATTCTAACATTACCTCTAAAAAATAGCCACTACTCGTTTCTCTAAGATGCCAGAAGCTTTGAAAAATTGGCAGCACCTTAGCATATAGAATGAACAGCGGAAACGTGTAACTTATTGATTGCATGTTTAAATAGCAGTTTAAGTTGTAACAGCTTCCAAATGCCTTGCCAAGTGACTGCTCTAAGGTATTACTGAAGACCCCGTCATTAACAACACGCTGCACCTTAACACTGAAAGCATTATTTACTCCTGGTTGTTTCTGTAACATTAAAAAAGGGGGACAAAAATCACCTTTGGAGTCCAACCAGAGGTCTGCTTGTTTCCATAACCTGAGGCTTGTTTGCTGTTTAGATCCCTGCAAGCTTAGAAGGTGAGTGTTTATCTACACGTAGCCTCATGAAGAGAATAAACCCCATATGATTACTGCTGGGAATCAATTCTTTATGTTGGTGTTTGTCCTGCATGCTACAGTTAGACTTATTCGAATTGGCAGATGACTTTTTGTTTTGTGAGTCATGTTCATCACACTTTAGACCAAAACTTATTTTGAAAGATAAATGGCATTCTGGTTCACCAAGCAGAATAATCCTGCACAGTTAGAAGTCATTGGGTCAGTCGCATTGCACAAACTCAGAAACATTTATAGAATTTTAAGTATATTTTGGGTTCAGAAATGAAAGATCGTCTGTGAAAAGAGAGAAGCAGTTGATGAAGTGGAAAATGCTCTGAGAAAGATGTCGTTAGAGAAGGAAAGGGTGACAAATCGATCACAATTAAAGCAACCCATGCACTCCTAAGTGAGTGAATGTAAATAATAAATAAATAAATAAATAAGATGAGAGAAAAGGAAAGGTTGAGCGGTGTTTCCTTTCTGAATCAATGCACTCTGGCAAAGAGCACTACCCATAACAAGTGAGATGATGGACTATTTTGGGGTTGGAGCCTGGTGGTGCAGTAAGCACATAAATGGTCGTCTTCCCTTAGAACTCCTTTTAAAAAGCTTTTCTTCTGATTTTAGGAAATTAATAAATAATCTTGATTATTTTCCCTCTTAAAAACATTTTTTGTAATGAGTACAAACAAAAGAAATGTTGAGCCACTGAGAAATGATAGGTATTACCTGGAGGAGGTGATGCTAAATACACGCAGGACAAAACCACAAGTTAAGGGTCTTGAATCCAAATTGACCTGAGAAGTTTTGAAAGCAGGAAACAGGTCGATGCTGTTCCAGTAGCAGTTCAATGTTTTGGCAGA